AGAGAGAGAGAGATGAATGTAATAATAGTTAGCAAAGAAAGTACACTGTTCAGCCGGAACCCAGCAAGCAACCAAATGTGCTTCCTAGACAGACCTCATGTGTGCCATCAGTCTCATGTGCGAGGGGACTCTCAAACATCAGTAGCCATAGCGCAACCATTAATCCTCTTTTAATGCTGCCCATAATTCTTTGTCAGCCATTTCTTCTTCTCCAAACCATTCTTTCAACCCAACCCCTGCAATCTTACCACCAGCATTAATTGAGCACTGCCCCCTAGCTGTCAAGCTACCCAACTCTAACCTGTCTGCTTTGCCTATCTCCACCACCCAAGACACCATCTTAGATGCTCTCCCTTCCACATTCTCTCACCTAAACATGCCTCCATATGTAGGTACTCAAGAATGTCTCATACCTAATACCTCGAACAGTGAGTCACCACAGCCATCACCCTACCCAACCATCAACTTCGGTCCCTCCCAGGACCCCACAATCCGATGTCATACACTTTGCTCCACACCTGTACCAGCCTCCGCTTAGTAACTCCCAATCAAATCAAGCCCCATCGGGTATTATCACCGGTCCCCCCAACTCCATCTCCCCAGCTTCTGACGAAACACATTGCGAAGATTTTTGAGTCCAGGTCACCATGACTATGGGTCTCGCAGCATGCACTCCTGTCCTCTGGTACACCCCATTTGAGCCACGAGCCCCACACTCTGAACCGACATCTCCCATCTTACTGAACAAGAAAGGGAAAAGGCCAATATTTGAGGACCTCTTCTTGTCGCGTAACATGTGTTCAATCCATGGGATTGACAGTGAGGACTGCAATCAGCCAAATTTGAGCTCATCAAAAAATCCAAAACATGTCACTCACCCAGGAAGTCCTCTCACCTGAGGCTACAGTCTACACCTACTTTACCCAAGGCTTGAGGAGTAGGAAGAGAACATTTAAACACCGGGCTCTTGGCAGCCAAAGTCCTCCTAACTCCCCTTGTTTGTCTCTTGGATTGACAATGGCCACTCTTCTTCTACGAAAGAATCCATTCACAGAAACATCCCTGGTCTCTCTTCTACCATGCCTCATAGACAGAAGCGAAGATCATTCCTGCCCAATGACTTAAGACTTACATCGACCATTGTGTTCAGATTGGGGTCCTCTGAAGAGTCTAGAGTTGCTTCGATGCTGAGTCCACAACTGCCTCATCCCAGTTCAACGTTTTCCTCTTTTGGCCAAATTATCCGTCCTATCCCGCTTCTCTGTGGACCTAATATGCTACCAAGATCTCCCCTCCTTCCTAGAAACCCGTTCCCAAATTCTCTATAACCAATACCTAGTCCAGTGGAAGGATAAGCCAGAGTTGGAGAATTGATTAGAAGGGGACCTAAAGTGGATTGACGAGGAAGCATGGAGGAGGTTCATGGCTTAGCCGGACTTGAGGGTGAGTACTTCCTAAGTAGGGGAGAGTGATGTAGGTAACATATGAGCAATGTGCCTTCAACAGGCATAACGTTTTACATATAGCTCATAATCACTGATAAGGGAACTCTGCGAAAGCTCTTTCAGAACCCTATGATTTCAAAACCCACTCCCACCAATTTGGCAACAAATTTCATAGGAATTGCCTCTAAGGGCCAAAAAATAACCTTCGAAGTTTATGCCACAAAATTGGGGTAGTTTCGTCTTTTTGGGCATCTTGGATTGACGTGCTTTTTTCAAATTTATTTCTTTTTGTTTCTGGTTGTGTTTTGAAGCTTGTAAAGATAGTCCTAATTTATTTCTTCTTAAAATGCCAGACAAATCGAGGAAAAGTACCGTGGTACCTATTTTTATACTATTGAGGGATCAAACTCACGAGCCACACTATGAAGTTGTGGAAATTGATTGAGCAACGATTAAAGCATGAAATGAGTGTATCAGATAACCAATTTGGTTTTATGCTAAGGAGGTCAACAACTGAGGCTAGTTTTCTACGTAAGCAACTGATTTAGAAGTTTAGGGCAAACGAAAAAGATCTGCACATGGTCTTTATTGATTTAGAGAAAGCTTATGATAGAGTACTTAAAATTTTGATTTGGTGGATGTTGGAAAAGAAATGAGTCTCAAGACACTACATTGACTTGGTGAGATATGTACAAGGGAGTGCTAACTAGTGTAACTAGTGAGTTTGTAGTTACGATAGGTCTACATTAGGGGTCAGCATTGAGCTCATGCCTCTTTGTATTAGTTATGGACGACTTAACTAGACACCTACAAGATGAGTTACCATGGTGCATGTTGTTTGAGGATGACATAATTTTGATCGATGATACCCAAAACGACTTTAATAGATAGTTGAAACTTTGAGGGGATACTCTAGAATCTAAATGTTTAAAAATTAGCTGGACTAAGACAAAGTATGTGAAATGCAAATTTAGTAATAATAGGAGTAAAGAAGAGGAAGTAGTTAAAATTAACAGCCAAAAACTACAAAAGAGAGCGCACTTTCGATATCTTAGGTCGATAATCTAGAACAATGGAGAGATTGAAGAAGATTTCACACATAGAATTAATTAGAGCTGGGTGGGCGAAGTGGAGATGTGCAACCGGAAATTTATGTGATCGCCGCATACTAATGAAGTTGAAGGAAAAGTTCTATAGGATAGCTGTGAGACCAGCTTTACTTTATAGGGCGGAATGTTGGGCGGTCAAGAAACAACAAGTCCATAGAATGAGTGTAGCTGAGATGAGGATGTTGAGATGGATGAGTTTAAAGGACAAGAAGGGGTAGAATTCGAAATGGATACATTCGAGAGAATGTAGGTGTGGCACCAATAGGCGAAAAGGTGAGAGAAGTAGACTTAGGTGGGCTGGCCATGTGTAGTGCAAACCCAATACAAAACTTGTTATGAGGTGCGAGTTAGTTTAAGTGGAAGGCTCAAAAAGGGCAAGGGGTAGGCCCAAAAGGACAGTTGAAAATAGTGAGAGAAGATATGGGGACTTATAATCTCACTGAGGGTATGACCCTTAATAGAGCAGATTAGTAGACCATGATTCGTGTAGCCGACCCCAATTAGTGGGTAGAAAAGGCTTTGATGACGATGATGAATAGATAGTCGAGATTGTATTTTGGTTGGGGTTAAAACTATAAATAGACTATGATGTAAGGTTGTGGTCAGTTGTTTGGACCTGATCCAGTGATACCTTAAGGTTTTTTTGTTTAACCAGAGGAGTCTATGGAGCTTTGGCTTGTAAGCTCCCAGTTTTCCATTTCAATCAATACATCAAGTTATTGTTTTCCTTCTAACTGTGGTTCAACCTTCATCACCAAGGGCTGGATGGCCAGTGTGGAGGACCCACAATGTGACATTTATGGCTCCATTCCTACTTGCTATATACCTGTCAATAAGTCCAAAAACAAAAAGAAAGTAAAAAGTTTATGTATGGTTGCAACCTTGTAGTATAGAAGTAAGGTGCACCTCAAAAATCTAGTACAAAGGAGTGCTCCAAAGTTGGAAAACCTCCCAATTGATCATCTTGACCTCAAGATGTATAGATATAAAGAGAAATAAGAAATAATGCATCTTGTACCAAGTTATATCGATTGTTTATTTGCAAGATTTTCAAGTGTTTATAGATTTGAATCAGCTCGATCTGGGCTGTTTTTGGAGATTTTGTTTCATAATTAGAGTTGAACATGGATTTTCAAGCCATCGCAGGGTTTGCGATACCCGAACTACATCTTCTGGCAAAATTTAGAGGTACACCTTACTTGGATAGTATACAGTGGGCACCTTGTACAAACCTTACCCAAATAGAAATATTGTAGATTAGTGTTGTATGTAGATGATGCACATAATGAACTATTAGATATCATGGTCTATAACAAGTATGTATCGTAATTGAATGTGCTCAGTAACAGTACAGGTTGGTAGCAAATGTTCATGCATTTCCCATGTTCTAGTTTAGTAACATCCCTTTGGGTTCTATCACTTGGCATATTTTGAGAAAAAAATATATTCATATTGTGGGTCCCATGGTAAATTTTGGAAGAGACCATGGCATAGATCTATGACATTGTTAGTATATTAATTGCGTTTGGGTGTTGGACTCTTGGTAAATGTCAATAATACCCGTGACAAACATTAATAGAGACTGGCATAAAAATGAAACCACAATGAAAATCACATATGAGGTTGTTGTTGACAATGAGATGATGAATCTTTTTGGACCTGTGGAAGTATATGACATCAGTGACAGAAAAGGTTGACGATCCTAAAAAAACGAAGTGAAAAGAAGAGTCTTTCAAGGAGAGAAGACATGGAGGAAATATTAACATGTGTTGTAGAAAGGATGTGATAATGCCAGCAAAACCTTTTCAGTTCAGAATTGGGGCCTAAATTAATAAATATGCTTGTAATAAATGTACTTGTTACAGTTTCTTCTTCATAGTTTTTATAAGAAATAAAAACTTACTTAGACATATGAATTTGTCAGGGTTTAATATGAGACTGTTACAATGGCCTATTAATGGCTGTGGCAATGTAGAGCTAATCCACAATGGTTGATCCATATAAAATTCAATGATGCCTATAACAAAACTGGATTGTCATTAGTCGACTAATTTACCCTTGGATTCCTTTGTATTACTGATAGATATATATAGTACAATCTTTGCAATATGTGGATACATTTCTTCATTTATGTTTTCCAATGCTTTGTATGTTCTTCATCTATATCTTTTTTGTTTAGTCTTCTGACACAGGAATTTGTTGCCCTACAGCATTTGGGATTGGGAGCTTGCAACTCAAGAAGCTGATTTTCAGGATGCTCGTTCATCAGTCTCTGCCTGTTGGAACCTTGATCAAGTATGATAATATATTGCAGCATTCCATAATGAATCTAATGTAAGATTATTTTTGCAACACTTTCAGTTCAGAATAAAATTGACGAATAACGAACACTAATAAAGAGAATGATTAAAGCATCTTTCCATTTTCTCCCATTTTGCAGTATGTTTTGTTTGTGTCCTATTCACCAGTAAAATCAAGTCAATGACTGGCCAGAATTCAACTGGTGATGCTCTGTGTCAGATTATGCTATTATTGCCAGTAGCCAAATCTTTGTTATGATAATCGTAGCAGAGAATCATTTGTGGAATCATGAATTTTGTCGGAGTTATCTTCACCATATTACCAAGGTTCTCAAAAGCAAGCCAAGAGCTCATCTAACTTATCAACATTTCCTAGGTGCTTCTTCATATGGTTACCTTGCTTGCTCTCCCTCCCTCCCTCCCTCTCTCTGCGCATGTGTCTGTGACTGAATGAATGTATTTATGTATGTACATATTTATACATGTATATATGTATGACTTTGCTTCTTATTTTTATTTTCCATGAGTAATGAAAATAAAAACCTTAAAAAGCTTTTAGGTGTCTTTCAGAAAGTACAAATCTGTGTGACATATTGTGTTTCTTCATAACTATTTGTTGCCATGACGTTCATTCTCTTCCCAACTTCTTTCAGGTGGACTATTTTGTGGACTGCCACTATTCTCAGGCCGATGAAAGGCTATGGGCAATTGGGGCCACAAATGGTGGCACATTGGGCTACTTTCCTCTCAACTCTAATGGCACATCTAGGTTTTTTGGGACTGTAGATGCAGTTCTTGAGGGGGGCCACTCAGGGGTTGTAAGGACGATAATGCCTTCATCCACAGGCCTCGGGGGCTCCATTGGTGGACGGACCATATTTGGGTGGACAGGTGGTGAGGATGGACGGTTGTGTTGCTGGTTGTCGGATGAGGAATCGACTGAGACTAACCGTTCTTGGGTTTCGGGGAGTTTGGCTATCAAGTCTCCAAAGAGTTATAGGAAGCGTCGGCATCACCCTTATTGAAAAGGTTAGCTGTTATATCTCGTTTTCTGTATCCTTTCTATGTTTGTGGTAATGTATGTAGCTGACTGGGTGTGTAATTTTATTATATATTATCTATATGAATATATTAAATAGTATAATTTATATATGTTAAAGGGATATCAAGTCTTGAAAATAATGCATCTTGTAACGTACTATTTGGATCATTCATTTTTAAGATTTTCAAGTGTTGCTTGAACCTTATACAAGCTACGCCGTTATATATATATATATACATTACATAAATATGTAATGTATTCATACCTCCCATGTTGTGGTCAAAGCCACACACTCTGGCCAACTCAGCTGTTCTAGTTGAGTGATATGAAAATATATAATATTTATTTATAACCTTAATTTCCTTTTTTTGTGGTCAGATCGCCGATTAGGCCAATCCAGATTGGGATCTATGGGTGAGCGATCCACCCCACTGATCCGTGTTCTAAAACGCTGCTATAATCCAATGGGGGAAAACCATAGTCTATTGTGTCATCACTGTCTAGTGAAAGGACGATGGTGATTGATAGCGGACCTGACCCCTAAGTGGGGTACCACATTCTCTCCATCACCTGTCCATTTCAATGAACAGCGCTGACCCCAGTGGACCGTGGTTTTATTTGATCTTTCCACAGTTCATGACAAATATAGTAATTTTTTGTATGATTTTGATTGTTGGTACTTGTAGTATTTTGTATTTGTATTTTTACGGATTTTTGTAATAGGAAAGTTCAAAGCTTTCTCTTCGGTTTGGGGGCTGTTTCTTATAGGAGTAGCTCAAGGAATTTTGCTTTATTTGTGTGAAACCTCATAAATTACCATGTATCAGAAACAATGCTAGCGAGGAGCACTAGTGGGGACCCTACTTAAGGTCAGTGTGTTTTTTTGAGTTCCCTTGTGTAATTTTGGTTCTGCAAATCAAAAAGTGTATCATGGAATAACCGCAAATTATTACTCAATAAAAATAAATAAACCTGTGAATATGTTATCAGTTTTGCCTCAAGAGATTATCTCTTGTTTCTTACCGTGATGACTCTCCCACCTTTGAAATTCCGGTTACATTACACACAGATGCACAAGCGCGTGCGTGGAACTCACGGTTTTTTTTTTTTGAGATTGAATGCATTAATACTGAAATGTCAATACTTTTTTCCCTCCACATGGACGATTTCTTACCCATTCAAATACGTGAAGAAGGAAGTGGATATAGACCGGATTGTTTTATTGGTGTATTAACAGCTGTTTTGGCAATGTTGGGTCAAGTGTTTTGCTTTTGAAATAATCCGGCTTGTGTGATTTTCGGTTATATGGTGCACAGACAGGTTAAGTGCTGGTCATCACCGAAGAGGCATTTTTGTTTAAGTTTGACACCGCCCTTTGGCAGGGTTTGAAGTTCCAAATGATAATGTAGCGGGAAAAAGGGAAATTTATCAAAAATACATCTAAAAGGTCAACTATTTAATATCTTATCTTAGTTGTATTTTGATAAATTTTGAAACCCATTTTAATGTATCAAAGGGCTATTTGAAATTTGATCCAGAGAATGAGGAGCTATTTGAAATTGGATAAAAGATAAGGCGAGATGTTAAATAATTCAAATTTTGTACATGGTTTGGTAAATAAAAGGATTGAAATCGTCGACAAATAATGGTGAGGCAGGAAGGGACCCCTGACTTCTTTGATGCATTGAATTCAAAACCGTTCGTAGTATATATATCATCTTAGGATCGATCCTAGAGTGATGTTATGTATTTGAGATTAGATTGGAGTTGGGGCACTAGGGAGCTCCCTTAGTGTCTTCCGTTTCAATTTTGTGTCTATGTAAATTGTTGTATCTGGTCTAGAAAAATAGTTATGGATTCGGATGGTTTTGCTTGTTTTGAGAAAAATTCATATGTATTTGAATACTTTGATGATATATTTTTAGCATTTCATTGGAATCTATTTTAAAATGTTGAGTTATTGGGGCATTGATTTTAGGTACATGGATGACATATTTTGGTAGTGATTTTGGGTTAATTTTTTGTTCACCCGATGGGTGTGATTGTTCCAGAATGCTGTCTGGTGTCCTAAGTGATGGACAACACTCTTGGAAGTAAAGGAAGGGTCCCATTACAGAGTGTGTCCGCCTGCTGGACAACACTACTAGAAGTATCGTTGTCCGGCACTTGGTTTACCAGACAAACATTCTGGAATGGCAATGGCATGGGTTGGTTGCATTATAGAAGGTTGTCCGTCTATGCAAGTGTCGGATGTCATTGAGGAATCGTAGGGGTGTATTCCAGAATACTGTCCGATACTTCACTAAACGAAGTAACGTGAAGTCAAGTTACCATGACAAATAAGGAAAAAGGAAATTGTAAATTATATATTTGAACTAAATACAAAGTTACCATGAAATTGCTATAGCCTCTGACGTGTATACCATCCATCTCGGGTTTCTTTGGGTTTTGAATTGTAGGGATGGAAATCCCACGCTTCATACTCATTTGAAGGCAAATTATGACTCTTGTTTGGCTCCCTAGTCAGACGGTACCGAACCCGGTCCTGCCACGCTCTAATTTGGAGGACGAGTTCCCAATTTTCTGCGTTTTTACCTCCACCGTTCTGTTTTATCCCATCTGCTGGGTTTTACTGGAATGGGTTGCCTCAAGGCGAGTGATCTTAGCACCCTGTCTGGTACCGCTCTACTATGTTGTCAAGTATTACATATGTCATGCAAATAGCAGTTTCAAATGCCTCTCGATCTAAAACCACTGCATCTTCGTCTCAGCACCAATGTAGCTTCATAAAGATTCCATAATACCTGTAGGAAGGGAAGCTTGGATACCCAATAAACCAAAAACAAATATCAAATATTGGAGGCTACTTTGCAGTGAATAAAAAGATGACTTCCTGTTTCATCATCCATTTTGCACATAAGTCAAATACTAGGTAAAATCTTATCTCTTTTTATCAAATTGTCGACGGTTAGAATCTTATTCTGAATGGCAAACCAGATGAAAACCTGCACCTTATTGGGAATTAGTCATTTCCAAACATTATGTGCAATACGTAGTGACCATCGCCATCGATCATGAAAGAGAAATCTATAGCAGGACTTCACGAAGAAAAGGCCATCATCTTCAAGTTCCCACACGAGATCATCCAAATGAACAGGGGAGATGCAAACCCGGTCTAAAAGGCTCAACAGTTGCAGCCACTGGTTATAAACCTCCCCACTAATACGATTGTATGGAATGATATGCCAGTTTACATTGGTACCTGCATATTCGAGCATATCTACAACTGAGGCATTCGAGTGGAGCACCCTAGCAAAGAGGAGTGGGAAGCGCAACTTCAATGGAACCTCCCCTAGCCACTTATGGTGCCATAATGAAGTTTGTGTCCCATTCCCCATGTTCCAGCGGAAGTGGCTGGCAATCATTGGTTTGCACCTATATATGGGCTTCCATATGAAGGAAGCTTCACCAGGACAGCCTCCTTCGATCCACATGCCAAACCTGTCCCTACCATATTTGGAATTAAGGACCTCGACCCAGAGATGGTTAGGACATTGGAAAATCCTCCACCACCATTTATAAAGTAGTGTTTCGTTCATATATTTAAGTTTGCGAATACCCAAACCACCTTTCCTCTTGGGGGTACACACTCGATCCCATCTGAGCAAATGAAATTTTCGAGCCTCACCTAAGGATCCCCACTAGAAATTGCGCATCATCAATTCAATTTTCTTAATGATAGAGGCTGGCATATGGAGAAGTGACATAAGATAAATCGGTAAGTTTGATAAGCAAGATTGTAACAGAGTCACTCTGCCACCAATAGAAAGATATTTGGGCTTCCATAGGTCCAGTTTAACTTGAAGTTTTTGAATGACCTTGTCCCAAATTGATATCGAGTGTCTAGAGAGGGAGATAGGAATGCCCAAATAAGAGGCAGCCAAAGCCAGGGACAATGGAGATTGGCAATTGATTTCAAAGAGAAGGGTCTGATTTCAAAGAGAAGGGTCTTGTTATAATTGATCTTGATTCCCAAAGCTGCCTCACAACAATCCAAAAAACAGGCAATATTAGAAACTTGAGCCTCAAAAGCGTCGCAAAATATGATAGTATCATCAGCATATTATAAATGAGATACGAGTGGAATTGAATCAAACACTTTAAAGCCTTTAAATTTACCACGATTATCCACATTCTGGAGCAGCATGCTAAAGCATTAAGCATAGATAGAAAAAAGGAAATGAGGCAAAGGATCCCCTTGGCGAAGACCCCTAGTAGCCTTGAAGAAAGTAGCAGGAGAACCTTTAATAAGGATCGAGAAATGGGTGGAAGAAAGGCATCCAAAGATCCAACTCCTCCATTTTTCCTTAAAGCCCATATTTATGAGAATTTCCAAAACAACACTCCATTCAACTCGATCATAAGCCTTCTCAAGGTCGAGCTTAATAAACACCCCAGGATTTTGACTACGCACTCTAGAATGAATGCATTCTTGAGCAACTAGGATACTATCACTAATCTGGCGGTTTTGGATAAAAGCAGATTGATTGGGTGAGATTAGAGAGGGAAGGACAGACTTCAGCCTTTCGGCCAAAACCTTCGCCATAATCTTGTAAAGGCTTGACAATAAGCTTATTGGGCGAATGTCAGACAGCTCCTCAATAATAAACTTTTTAAGGATTCGAGCAATAAACGTGGCATTAACTCTTTTAAACTCGTAGCATAAAAGCTCTGACCATCTGGAGGAGGTCCAATTTAGTACGATCCCAAAATCTTTGGAAGAACACCAAAGGGAATCCATCTGGACCCAGGGCTTTGTCACTAGATAGGGAAAAGACTCCCCTCTTAAGTTCTTCTAAGGAGATATCACACTCCAAAAAAGCACTTGAGTCAGCTGAAAGGGTTCTAAAAGGCACTTTGGAGAGGATAGTGGTAATTTGACTTCTGAAGAGAAAGCCTTCTTAAAGTGTGTAACTATAGCTTCCACCCAGGCAGAACTATTATCTGCCTCCATATCTGGGATAGTGAGACTAGAGATATCATTCTGCCTTCTTCTTGCATTAGCTATTTAATGGAAAAATTTAGTATTCAAATCACCCTCCTTAAAGTCATTAACTCCTAGACCTCTACTTCCAATATAATTCCTCAATTTTATGGAGGCTGAAAAGGTCTTTTAACTTAGATTTTCTTGCCTCCCAGTGCTTGATAGATAAGGACCCAAACATCTGAACCTAGTGATCTAAAAAGGTAATCTCCTCTAAGAGATCATCAATTTTGGCTTTGACGTTCCCACAATGTTCCCTATTCCATGCAATAAGCTTGTGCTTGATACTTATAAGTTTTTTATGCAGCTGGAAGTCTAGGAAACCAATCGACAAAGAATTTTGCCACGTGGAGGTGATTAGATCAATGATAACACTATCTTCCAACCAACTCAATTTCAGTCTAAAAGGTTTGGAACCCCCTCTTTCTTGGGCAGTAGAAAGTAACAAAGGGGTATGATCCAAAGAAAGTCGAGGGAGGGCTTTGACGAACACCAAGGGGAAGGTCTCTGCCCATTCCGAAGAAACAAAAAATCTGTCCAATTTAGACATAGACAGAGAACAAATAGAATTATTAGACCAAGGATAAGCGAGCGTGTAGAACATTCATCTGGCCATTTAACCAAGTTAAAATCCCCGCCATTACACAATGGCAAATTGAAACTGCGAACAACATATTCCATATCATTAAGAAAGGCCTCCTTAGAAGCAAAATTAGTAAGACTGTAAACATTAAGTAGGCCTCACGAAAAACCAAAGATAGGGCTATGAAAACCAAGAAGCAAAAACCTATCTCTGAATATAGTCACAAAATGTTGCAGGACCAAAGGGTCCCACAGAGCCCATATACCCCCTGAAGTCCCCACAACGTCAATACCACAAAAAGAAACCGCATTAGAACCCCAAACTTGCCTAGTATCTGAAACAGTCAGGCTAGGAAGTTTGGCTTCTTGAAGAACTAAAATCCGAGGTTTAAATTTGGCAACAAAAAAGGAGACATCCATTTTTACAGATGGGGTTACCCAAATCCCTTACATTCCACGATAATATATTCATATTAAAAATAGGCGGAAGAAGAACCTTGCTCATCCCACGTTGCATCTGAGCCGGGGTGTGGTACAGACTGCTTGTCTCTGTCTATAGCCAACCGGGGTTCCAAATGGGCAGACAACCTGATGCCCACATGACCCTGATGTTCCTTCTTGTTGATTGCAGTCGTAGTTTCAGCAGCAGCACCACATCCGGTATCAAGTTGAGCCAAATTTCCATGCTGTTGTGCAAGCCTATCTTTCTTGAGACGCCTAATCTCCTTGTAGAAGATCCCTATCGGTAAGTTAAACTCGAACCCCATATGTGAGACCATGGCAGCCACATTATATTCATCAGGAGTGTCTTGGATCACAGGCTGGTCTGCGCTAGAGGAGGTTGTATCCACCCATATAAGTTGAAAAGTACAGGATGTCGTAGAGAGAGGAATCGTTGTTTCAGCCACCACCAGTGCAAGGGAAGGCTCCTCCGGCTAACCTTGAGAAGCAGGAGAGAGTTGATCGTGTTGTTCATCGGAGGATACATCCACAAGGACCATCGGGTCAATAAGCAGCAGATCAAAGTGACGCTTAGGCTTCTGGGATTGGCCCTTAATGGCTTCGCGACGATAGAGGAGGGGGTACATGGTCAGTAGGTAACACATCACACCTACAAGAAGGACCCGGTTTAAGGCAGCCAAGACACGCAAACGTTCGCCTCCTGCACACCGAGAAAAGGCAAAAGCTTTCCCTCTCCAGAGGCCAAGTACTACGGCGATGATGGTTTTTGCATAAGAGAAGAAGGTCGCTCGCAGAAGATATGGGGTGACAGAAATGAGATTTGAATCAACTTCCGCACATGCAACGGCATCTTCTGGAAATATACTTGGGCCCGACTGTGCAGCTACAGGAGGTGAGACCGCAGAGGACTCCGGGTGAGAGGGTAGAAAGTTTGCCGAAAAACCTTTCGTCCATGCTGGAAAACGACCAGATAGGGATCCATTTTTTTGCAATTTTGAAATTAAGAACATCCTAAGATTTTTCCTCTTACGACGCCGGGATGAAGCATCTTTCACAACATCAATGAGATATGGGGTCTTCGTGATAAAATGAAGCGGCAATTTATTCCGGCTAGGAACGACCTGCCAAGCATTGTCCTGCTGGGATGGGGGAGCCACAAAGGAGGTCTTACGAGGGTCATGCTTTTGAAGGACATTCGCATCAGCAGTGTCCAGAGACACTGAGATAAGAAAAAAAGAATCATCTACTAGAAGCTTAATCGTCTCAAGAAGGGGAAGGTTAGGCACAACCCAAATTTTAATACGGACAGAACGATAGTTTATCCCCAAGAAAGAGTCCCAATCCAAATTGCGGTAAACCCCGCAGCTGGAGGCAAGTCTTTTGATAGTTTCTAGTTTCTAAACATGTAAAGGAATACCCCACAATCGGATCCAAACCAGCTTCTTATCAGTAAATGAAGCGTGATCTGAAGGCTTCCATCGATCAAGAGAGAGGAGAGACCCTCTAAATCTACAGAAACGATTACGTAGGGCCATGGAGACATCATCGGGTGATCTTAGCTTGAACACCACCTTATTACCTAATGACTTTGACGTCAGGGGAGTAATCAAGTTCCCAAGCACGTTTTCCCCAATCTTCGAGTCCAAAAAAATCTTTCAGAGGAAGAGAGAAGGAGCCTGTAACAAAGAAAGGGTAGGATACTCCAAAAAGTCCCAAAGTTTCTTTGTTGACACCTTCTTGTAGTCCTTTAGACAGCCACTCCCTTTTTTTTCCCTGTCCTAGTGATGACAAAAGTAAGGAAAGAAAGAGAGAAACAACTGAATTCGATTATTGAAAAATGGTTATATGAGTGAACAGTTCTATACACATATTGTAGGTTGGGCAACTAATATCAAAGAAATATGGCAAAAAGAGAAAAGTGGCTCGCTCATATCTGACTTAACAAATTTAATCATTTTGAAGAAAATAGGATTCGGATGGACTTTAAATTTCACACACACATACATATATATATATATATATATCATCTAGATGCTTATAATAAAAAAATAATAATATAAAGATTTGGGGTGAATCGGGTCAATCATTTTCGGATATGTCATCTAGATGCTTATAATAAAGAAAAAATAACATAAAGATTTGGGGTGAATCGGGTTAGTCATTCTCGGTTTCATTCCAGCTTTGCGGTGCTGTAAGAACTGTTTGCATGTACTAGAGGAACTTCCATTTATTCTAATGAACAAAGCCCATATCTTTTTTTTTGTATTTTTTAAGAAAAAAAAAAGACTTTTGGCCCTTTAATATTTTATCATCAAGTTTTTTTGAAATTTATATGAAAATTTGCAGAAAATGAGATCCCTGTGATATAATGCTTCAAATGAGTTTTTTTTTCTCCCTTCATTCTTCTTCTATGTTGTTTACGAAAACTAGTTCTTTTAGGGTTATAGTTGATGGCAGTACTTTAATCCCATCTCTACGGTAGAACCGGATGTGAGATTTTTTTCCATCCAGCTATTCGTGAATTAAATGATTCAATCTATATATACATGTATTTAATGAATAATACATTGAATCACTTCAAACAAGTTTCTTTCTTTGTTTTCCCTTCAAACAAGAGTAATGGCGACAGTTTTTTTGCCTTCAAACAAGAATTGGTGTTCCTGCACATGTTTCCTGCCGCTAGCAAGTTATCTGCATTAGACGGGCAAAGATGTCAAATCATTTGGACCAAATTTAAAAATAAAAAATAATAATTTAAAAATAAAAAAATATTATGGAAATGATAAAATTTATTGAAGTTTTCATAAGAGATGAACAATTTAATATGTTCTTCCATCTTTTGATTTAGCTTCAAAATAACCATAAAGTTGGAATAGTAAGGCTGAGGCTTTTGAAAACAAAGTAAAGTTTCACCTCAAATTCTCATATGGAAAGCACTTTGTGTAATGGAAATATTCACGATGGTTCTAAAATCAATTTTCAACATTGAGTAGGAAATTTGAAGTTCAAAAAATAATACAGATCTTGCGGATCTATGGAAACTTTTTTTCTTTGAAGTGAAATGGATGGTCTAGATAATGTGTCATAACAAACACTATCTTTAGGACTTGAAATCTTAATTTTTTTCACAACGATAGCGATAAAGGCCGAGATGATCAATAAGAAGGTTTTTCAATGCCAAAAGTACAAATTTTTGTGAGTTTTGTATTTATCAATTATTTTTCTTGTGAATTTTATTTTTTTGAGGACAACTTTTTTTCTTATAAATATTTTTCTTGTCAATTTTATTTTTTTGAGGTGAAATTTTTTTTATCAATTTTATTTTTTCTTGTCAATTTTAGTTTTTTGAGGTCAATTTTTTTTCTTATAAATATTTTTCTTGTCAATTTTATTTTTTTGAGGTCAAATTTTTTTTCTTATAAAAAAAATAAAAGGTTTTTTTTATCAATTTCACATTTTGTCAAAAAAATTTCTTATCAATAAAATAAAAATTTTCTTATATAAAAAAATGAAAGGTTCTTATCAATTGTTTTTCTTGACAAATTTCTTTTTTTTAGTCAAAAAAATAAAATTTTTTTGTCAAAAAAAAAAAAGTAAATAAAAAGTTTTTGTCAAAAAACAAATAGTTCTTATAAAAAAATAATAATATAACAAGTATTTTTGTCAAAAAAAGGGTTATTGCTGAAAACAAAAAGAAATGTAATACGACAAATATTTTTTGTAAAAAAAATAAAAGGTTTTTGTCAAAAAAATTAAAATGTTCTTATAAAAAAATCATTATTTATTATAGTCCATGTTTGGACATCCATCTGATAAACCTCAAAATCAAAATGGGTTGTTATAGCTATAAAGATTCGGATAGATAGGAATTTGACAACAAGGGAAAATGTCTCTTCATAATATATCCATTCTTTTTGGATAAAACCCTTTGCAACCATTCTAGCTTTGTATTTTTTTATTTTCCCTTATGAGTTCAACTTTTTCTTGAAAATCCACTTACAGCCAATGGCTTTTCGTTTCTAAGGTAGAGATACTAATTCCCATACATGATTTTAGTTAATGAAAGCATATTCATCTTTCATGGCTTCTACCCAGTATTCATTTTTCAGGATATGAAAAGGCTTTAGAATAAGTATTAGATTCAGAATCTGAATCTTCCCCAACTCTATCAATATGTTCTCCCAAGTAGACAAATTGTTCTAAGTACAGAGGAGGTCTACTGATTCGGTTACTTCTTTTTGGTTCGAGTTCAGGCCATTTTGTTTAGAAGGTTCTGTTTCAAGCTCAAGTCTATTGGAAGTTTCAGATTCGGATTCTCGAAGCATAGCCTTGTTTATTGCTTCCTCAAAGAAGTCAGCATGTTTCTGTCTCATTCTTGCTCCAAGAAATTATTCGTCGAAGAAGTGAGTATCGCGACTCTCATTGACCGCCCTTGTTTCATGGTTGTAGAATCGATACCTATTACCATGGTCTGAGTAGCTGATAAAAATAGTTTTAACAGTTTTGGATTGTAGTTTGGTCCTATTTTGGTGCGGGATGAGAACATTGGCTGAGCAATCCCAAACTTTTAGGTGATCAAGAGAGTGAACACGACTTGTGAATATTTTGTGAGGAAAATAAGTTCATATAGAGAAAAAATATCTCAATATTCATATATTGATAAAAAAAATAAAAATTAATAATATAGTACCTCGATTTTTTATTGGATTACTTAAAAATAATATTTATAATAAATTTTAATAAATTTTTTATATTTTTTTCGCAGCTTAATCCAATCGACTCTCGATTCGGATCGTCAATCCACCCATCCGGATGTGTTTTTTGGTGCCCTATCCAGGCCACCGATCCGTATTTCAAACAACTGGGTACAATATAAACTTTTTCCTGTCTCCTCCCCGTCTTTGAAATTTCTCGCAATAAAAGAGGCTATTCCCGCGTCATTTTTTGTTTCAGTGAAACGAAGCTGACATACATTTCGGCGAGAAAACTGAAGATTTCGGAGAAACAAGAAACATGCAGTATAATGGCAACATCTCCCAGGTAGACTCTAGATTCTCAACCTCGTTCTCCATCGTTTGGAAACTAGGGTTTCCACTTCTGGTTTTGCCTCCTCCTGTTTGTTCTTACCTAAAATTATCGCCCTTTTTTCATGTGATAGTTGGATTATTCACTAAATTTTACTATAACTTCAATGTATTTTAACCTTCTCTCTCTTCCTTCTGAAATGGTGAAAATGCAGCTTATTGTTCCTTTGAGGCCATGAAAGATATGTTTTTTTGTGAGTAGAGATTCTTTAATTTATTATTGAGAGATCTCTGTAGTTTCAACCATCAGTCCATCACATATATATCTTTATACAACAGTGTGGTGAATACCATTAAACACAGAGATTTCATGTCTATTCCCGAATTATCTGCTTTTTTTCTTTTCTTTTTTTGGTAGCAAATGGAAACATCACTGTAATTTGAATTCCTGCTAGCCCTAGGTTATCCTTGCAGTAATACACAGAATAATGGTGCATTTCTATCAGAAATGACTAAACACAAAAAAATTTCTTTTGAGATCGTCAACATTACATAGGTTCCCTGTGTAGCGATTTTCCAAGTGAATCGAGAGTGACATTTGTAGCTTCAAGCATCTTCTCATATTTCTAATTCAAACCATATAATATCCCTGATAAATTCTCTGGAAGAATCACAAGATAAGCATGAAGACAATAACAATCACTTTAAAAAAAAAAGAAAAAAAAAAGAAAGGACAATAGGAAGTTGAGGCTGTGAAATTTTAGAAGGTAATTTGAAATACCTCATATGAATAATACAAAAGCATGTGTTTCTGTTATTAGCTTGGCATGAGAATAGCTGAAATTGAAAGGAAATAAATTTTTGTCTCATTTACGTTGCCACTATTAGTAAAGAATCTCAAAAAGTATCATTTGTGGAAGTACTGGATATCTACAATCTCATGAGCAAGAGTAAATTTAGGGCCTAACCTAGCATGCCTCTCTCTCCTAGGGCAATATATGATATGAATTTCTAACATAGTAGAGGCCTTCATTAGCATCTCTTGAGAGATGGTAAAAACCATTTTCAAGAAGAGGATATGAGGGTTTCAAAGATGGATACTTTTTGGATAAGGAATGATTACAATTGCCTTATAGCTACGTGGTTAAAAATCAAAAACCATATTTCAAATTTTCATCATCCTTCATCATTGGCCATGGATCTACCTCCTTTCTTTATCACATCTCTGGGCTTTTTCTTGACAACTCAACAGAATTGAGTTACAAATAAATCATGCGCTCTTTTCTATTTTCAGTTGTGCATTTTTAAAATGATTGATTGCTATGTCAGAGGTTGGCATTGTCTTGCATGCATTAGACTTGCATGCATTAGAATGTGAACCCATTGCCAATAGATTATGGAAATAATGTAGCCCAAGGGGTACCACTGTCCTATGACCGATAAATAGTGATGGAGAGGGTGGTACCAACCTGAAAAGGACATGGATCCACTTCTCCCACCATCATTCATCAGATTACGAGTCATGACCCCAATGGTCCATTTTTCTCTATAGTCCAGTGGTTTATTGCACTCTTTCCCTTACCGTAGTGCATTAATTTTTTATTTCAAGTTTTCTTGCTATGCTGTTGTTACTTGTTAGTTCCTGTATTGGTACTCATTTCCTCTTTAACTGTAGTTGCTTGTGTGGCCCCAGTGGTTAACAAATATTACTTCTCTAGCAGCTAATTTCAAAGCAGGTCAATAAGAATACACTATCAGAGTTGCTTAACAGAAGATGGATGATGCTTCATCCAGATACCAAGATCCACCAGATCTCATTTTTTGATTTAACAGGAGAGCATAAAGATGCATCAAGTATCAAGTTATCATTCTCCAACAATACTCAACCATCTTTAGGTGATGGCCTTCAAGGGGTGAAGAATTCTGAGAATTATCTTTTTGTGGTAAGAGATGATTTGTTACACCCATTTGTCAATGGAAATAAGGCAAGGAAGCTAGATGCTCTACTTCCACTTCTACAGGCCCATGGAGTGACTGATGTGGTGAGAAATTATTCCTATAGAAAGAGTAAAATTGTTGATATAGGTTTATCTCTGCCACCTCCTTGTAGCAGTTCACATTATTGAATATGCTATTTTTTATTGGGGAGTTGAATATGCTAGTTTTAATGGTAAACTAGCTTCCAGCTTCTATCTATCGGTTAATTTAGATAACCAGTTGGTTCTCATAAAAACTGTCTACAATCAAAGCTTATGTTGAAAATAAGCCTATCAAATACAGAAGCACGTATATATGAGATTGGCAGTACTAGTCAGTCACTCATTTTTGGGACATTTGGTAGGTTACATGTGGAGGATGTCAAAGTGCTCATGCAACAGCTCTAGGTAGGGATATCTGCATGGAAGTTATTATGAATTTATGCTCTAATTATTTCCTGTTAAAAATTCTTATCTATTTTTGGGTAATAAGCATAAAAAGGTCATGACTAATATGCTTAAATCTCTGATTTGTCCCTTGCACAGCTGTTTCATGTGCTGAGAGAGGACTAAGATGTCATTTACTTTTACGGGGAGAACAGCCGGAAACTCAAACAGGTTACAACCTACTATCAGGGATGTACGGTGGCGTTACGTATGTACCGAGGTCACTTTATGCAAATAGGGAAGAAATGCTAAATAGACACGCATACAAAGTTGCAGGCAGCCATGGCTCAGTGGTTTCCTTGGATGATATGCTGGATTCATCTTTACTGCTTCCTTCTAGGCAAATGAATGTTGCATCTCTGGGAAATGATAGCAGACATCAATCTGCATCCAAAGGAAGTACAAGAAAGGTTGTTATAGTGAAGGAAGGTGCAGGAGATGCCATAGCCTTGCTAGGTTAGTCACTATCTTAAACATACAATGGACATTTTGAACTTCATAAAATCTACATGTTTCAATTAAATCTACCCCAGTATAGTGATATTTCTTATGTTTCTTGGGAAGAAAACTGTATATTGAAGTGAACTTCTTAAATCTATATGTTTATCAACTATATTGACCCTAGTGTAGTCATATAATTCGGCTCATGAGCTCATGAAGTTTCATTTTTAGTTCAATAGCTTTAGAGTATGATCAAACCATTTTCATATTGTAGTTTCCAAGATTCCCTTACATTTATGGATAGTCAAGTTGGTGATACTAGATGATCTTTGTTAGTTATCAAACATGATTTGGACTATGCTTTAAAACTCTGTTTCTTGTTAAAAGTCTTTGGGAACTTCTATAAAACAATGCCAAAACCTAATAATGTCAATGCTCAACTTCAAAAAAAACTAATAATGTCAATACTCTTTATGGTAATCTTTATGAATCTTGATAGTTCATTTAGATATGGCTGTCAAAGGTTGTCTGGTTTGTTTGACTCTGACCTCATTTAAGGAGTTTGAGATTAGACAAGAATATACAACAAAATTCTCTACTTATGCTGCATAAGTTATAACATATGCCTTTCCAAATTGTGTTTTACCTTACCTGTCAGTCTAGGGTACATGTGTTTCCGGAGAAAAGTCATCCATTGGGTAGAGAGAGTTGTAGAGTTAGCATTGGCATATCTGTGTGTATGTATTCTGTGTGCATAAGGGCATACCGCTCATTATATGAGTTTCCATAGGTTATTAGGAGTTCGTGTGTATTGACATCACAATTGCCGTGGAACAGGATCAGATTACATAATTTGTAGCTTGTACCATTCAGTCTTAATCATGACTGTGTCATCAATGCTTAATTACTGCTCAGCCATTACTAACGAAAGCAAAATTCTCTCAGTGAACACGTGTAATGTAGAATCAAATTGGCAATCTTTATGCAAATGTTATACGAACCACCAAACCTAGTGTTTTTTTATAACTTGAAAAAAATACTACATTTAATGCAAAACCAGAAAGAGGAATTTGCAAAGGTTAAATGGCAATAAGTCACAAGATTTGCATGCAGTCATTATAAAACTTGAACTTGAGCTGATTGCTCGGAGTGAGGAGATCAAACTAGTATGTATTTGTTAGTGTAATTCAGTAGAGTAATAGCAAGCAATGTTTCAGAATGCCTGTATTAAGTTTTGGATAGGGTGCGGCCTGGACCAATTTATAAAGGTATCAGCTAATATATTGGGGTTTAAAACGGGGAAGGAAAATAATAAATATTTTTAAAATCAATGATGAGTGATACTCAGAAAATATTTAAAAATATCAGCTATAACGGTTTTATAATGGACATAATGGAGATTTTGTATTCATTAATATATTCAAGAAATAATGAGTTAATAATGTATATAACAGGCATTTTTTGGAGAAATAATGAGTTAATAATGTATATAACCGGCATTTTTTGGAGAAATATCAGGTAAAACAGGTTTATGTCAACTTTCAAGAAAGCAATATACCAGCCATCATTGTGATACATAACGACTGCTATAAACCTCATAACCAGTGATATAGGATTGTATTGGGCGATTTTGACTTCGTGCACTGCCATATATAAGTCACGTATTGGTGCAGGCAGGGTTCAAACTGTTAATATAAGTCAATCTAACAGATATTTTTATGTTTTTTTGAACTTGATAAGAAGTAACAGCAAAACCAATGTCAACAAAATAATATTGATGATATCATGGTTATATTAATTCAAGTTATTGACTGAATTTTTTGTTAGGTGTCATGAGACTTGTGGATTATCTATCTCAAACTCAAATATTTGGACGGAGTCACTCTCTGAAAATTGTTGTAGATGCTGGCACAGGGACAACTGCTGTTGGATTAGCATTGGGGGTCTTGTGTTTGGGGTATGTACATATCTTCAACTACATACATCCTCTTGTATTATGATATTTTACAAGTTAAAATGAACTTTTTTCATTGTCACAGTTTTACTCAAGCTCATAAGGATGGGTTAATCCTTCATGCGTGTTTCATTTTACTATGTTTAAATTTTCAGAATCTCATGCCTCATTGTTTTGACGTTTCAACTACTAGAAATTTCTGATGATTGTTAACAATCTCTGCCTATGTTTGATCAGGTTGCCTTGGGAAGTAACAGGAATAATGTTGGCTAATACTATTGAAGGATATAGAAAGCAAGAAGCCCGCTTGATTTCTGACTTCAAGAGGTTTTGTGGTTGGGACATTGACTATGCATCAAACGGCGCAGGCTCTAACTGCGTACAGTGGGTGGAACGAATCTCTCCAAGGAAGTCAGTGATTCCTCTGAACTTCTATCTTGCTCATAATATGTGGTTCCTTAGACTCAAATTCTGGGAGGTGGTGAATACCATTGATTAAGCATTAAACTACTGAAGTTTTCTCACGACTTTTTTCTGCTGTTATACGAATTACCAAGCGCTAAAGTTTCCTAACATAGGTTGAATGGTGATCAATTGTGATAAAACTTTATCCATGATTTGTTGAAGGTATCTGTGCTACTTTCTGTCTTAAAATGCTTGTTTTGCTCGTTGCATAAGACAATAAATGCCCTTGATTTGTTTATAAGGAATCACAACTATCCATTATTTTTCTCCACTTGGGTAACTCTTTATCTGTATCACATCCAACAAAAAATGACTCATTATCCCTCTCTCATATGAGATTCCATCTCTCATATGAGATTCCATCCATATTTATCATTTCAATCTAACCCAAGACTCAAACAGAAAGAGGATTCCACAATCTCTCCCTCTCCCCCTCATCCCTTTGTTCTCAACGTCTCATGCAATGCACGGATTGTCTACAAGTAATTTTATTTGGATGATATTCATGATTCTTTTGTTACTTATGAATCTAGATACCTATTGTGGTATTAGGATGAACGTGATATCTAGTGTGAATCTAAAAGGTAATTCTAATTGCTAAAACTCCCATCATTTGATCAAATTATGGTTGGAATCTATGGGCTAGTCATTTCTTTTTCGCACATCTGATAGCATTTAATTACTTCTCCAGGAGTCTCGGTAAGTTCGTCTATCTCGTATCTATATAAGATGCAGCCAGCAGTAGTTAGTATTCTTTATTCAAGTAGGAAGGTGACATGGCCGAAGGATCAATAGTTGGATCTATTTGTAAAAGCCTGAAAAAGTCCTAATCGAGTTTGAATACTTTTAAGGTCCGTACTTCTGTATGGTACATGTCTTGGGATGGTACTTCCATATTTAGCTGGATGGTTGCTGCAAGAGGGAGTTCAGTTGCTTATCAAGAAAAAAGGAAAGAGAATAGAGATCTTCGTTCCATGAGTCAGGATTATTCTACAGTACGCATGGACTAACACTGAATTGAGGATCTACGTTGGTTGGTTTTTGTGGTAGACTCCTTTGTTTGCCATGTAACATAGTTCGTTCCCTTCTATAATTCATCAATATCTCTTCATTGAGATTGAACTTCTGTAATTCTTTTAAGACGTCAGCATGCTTTGCAAAGAATAGGTTGTGTTGCCCTCCTTGGAAGCTCTTGTATGTCACACTTAATAAAGAAAAGAGTGGTTTTTGTAATTTTATATACAGTACAATTTATGGAAGTGTCATACTACGTTGACTTTTTCCAGAGAAGAGCAGTCCCAAACCATATTTGATTTCTTAGTTTGAAACTGTTTTGTATGTATCTTATTTGATTTCGAAGTTCCTCTTTTGCTTGTTGATGATGAATAAGAAGAATCTACGACATGCCTTTTGTACTTTCCTCTTGTCAATTAAAGGACAAAAGAATTTACGTCACTGAAGTAGAAAAGATTGTCACATAGTCTTTAAGTCTTATCATAAAAACTGGAAGATATTGCTGGGGAGGTGCTCCCAATATTCATCTGCACAGGAAATCTAGTAGTGTTCTTATTGCAGGTGGGATGCTTTGATTATTTGTTAAAGATGTTTGAAAATCAGACTGATCATGATTCTATCTGTTGGACTAACAGATTATGAATCACATTACTTGAGAAACTATCTGGGTGAATGATTTAAGGCTCCAGCTTTGATTTCAGTATTGATTTGTCTCTCCGGACCAATTCAGCATTAAATCAAAAGTCTTGAGAAAAATGCATTATCTCAAAAATTTCTCAAAATTGTCGGCGTGAATACTTTTGCAGGTTTGGCAATACATTAGAAGGAGAATTGGAGGCATGCCAACAAATTGCAAGGCAAACAGGCATTCTAGTCGACCCTGTCTATACGCTTGCTGCATGGCAGCATGCAACTGCTTTCTGTCAAAGTCTTCGAGAAAATGACAATGCAAAGGTTGTAATGCTTCACACAGGCGGCACGCTTGGCTTGTTTGGATTGGCTCAGAGATACAAGAATTACTTTCACGGGCTTCAGCAAAGTAATCACGGTATGTAAAATTCCTTTTCAGTTCTTAATTTATTGTTGTTCCAAGTTCTTGTCTGTAAACGTGAATCTGTTGATTGCTGAGCTTACAGTAGGGTCTCACGTGCTTCTGCTCCCACAAGTGATTATAATACTTATTAATTCTTGTATATTGATATTGTTTTGTTAGGCTAAGGTATCAAATATGCTTGCTTATGATTTCTCTCAAAAAAAAAAAATGCTTGCTTATGATAGTCTATCAATTTGGTAAATGTTTGCAGGATGATTGTCCAAGACTGTGGATAGTTGGATCATTATCCAATCTCGAAACATGGATACTTATGCAAGTCACCATTACTTAAGCAACCTTGCATCTCAAAGTAAGGAATAGGCTCAAGGTTAGATGGTCAAGGTGGTGGTACATCAGAACTTGATGTCCTGAGTTCGGTTCCTGCATTTATGAACTCCCAAAAAAAAAAACACACTTGCATCCGAAAGTTGGTGGTTGACTCTTCCTGCTTGGAACTGAGAGAAATTTTTGTTTACATGGAACCAGTAGAAATTTTATTGTATCATTCCCTCCCTTCTATTTATTGGAGAGAGAGTGTGTGTGTTTTATGAAACTCTTTGACCGCTGAATTTACAGTATCCTACTTTCATCTGATCATAGAGTTTAACAAGCAATCAATATTTCATGATTGAAGGTGTATGTATACTGCTTGACGGAGCGGTCCTTATATGTCATTTTGAAATCGAAATATGGTCAAAAGAAAAAATATCTACTTGAAGCACCTTCCTCTACCTATGAGAGAGAGAGGGGGGCAATATACTAAAAAGCAGAATGCCCTCCGATGTTTACCCTGGAAACAGCATGCACGTCTCAGAAATGATAAAACCGGTTACGTTACGTGGCTCTAATCGGCTTTGGAAGGATCAGCCTGTTGTGTGAGGTTCTGCCCAGATAACATGAAGCTTAGTGTTGCTTGTTTCAAGAGAGAAGGTTTCTTCGCTTGAAAAATTATACAATGAGACCATTTACCTTTAGTATAAAGAATTGCAATTAACCTTAATCATTCGATATGAAATTGGGTGTATGTATTTATTCTATTGACCACGTTCAAAGTTTAAAACAAATTTTATCGAACTTTGTGACATATTTAAGCTGTCAGATTTTAGATGTGACATTCTTGGGCTGGATCCATTTTTGTGGGCGCAACAAATAAAGGAATTCAAACATCACACCTCGCTGTGCACGTGCTTTATGGGGTCGTACTTACAGGCGCTCTCTCTCTCTCCATGCAATTAGTGTTACATGCAAGCGGTGAATTCAAACATCACCTTGCGTTGGGCAGGTGATTATATACAGGTATCTCTCTCTAAAACATCAATTCCCACCACTAACACCATCACATTAACACCTTAAAAAAGCTTTTAACTCCTAATCTACTTTAAAAAATCTCTTTAAAACATACATTTCCACCACTAACACCATCCCATTATAATTTTTTGAAAAAAGCTAACTCATAATCTACTTTAAAAAAACGTGCAGAGGCCAGTCTTTTCCACTGAATTGCAGAGGCCAGTCTTTTCCATTATAGACTATTTGAAGGGTTTCCACTAAAACCAACCAAAGAGAACATATAGAATTCTCTTTTTTAAATTGCATTGGCAGGGAGAAGTCGAAGATGCATAGATTATTTGTTTGAAGGGTTCCCACTAAAACCAAGGAGAACACATAGAATGAGCATGGCGTAATGCCACATTGATCATTTTTAACAAAAAAATAAAAAATAAAAAATAAATAAACTCTTGAACACCTCAATCATGGCCTCAAAGATTGGAAAGCTCTTGATTAGGTTCAATCTTTTTAGGCATAATGCGCTTTGCTTTTTTTCTTGTCTTTTTTTTTTTTGGTAGGATCTCAAGGTTAAATCCCCAAAATTTAGGGTCCAAAATGAATATTATGAGCTTGAGTTTTTTACTTGAGAGGTCAAGTGCAAAATACTCTCGACAATGAAAAGAGAATGGGTTTGGGATTTGGAGCTGTGGGGGTAACAACACATGTGCCCCAACTAAAGTCTAAACTTTCATTCTCACCTAACGCGATAAAAACACATGTGCCCCAACTTAAGTCTAAACTTTCATTCTCACCTAACGCGATAAAAAACCAACGACAATTTCAAAAACAGATAGGAGCTCATCTTTCATGAATTATCCAAAAAATAAAAAAAATTCCTTTTATAAAAAAAGAGAAGCTAAAACGATGGATTTAACATTACATGCCTTTGACCTTTGTGGTGGGATATAACTGCTAACGGTACTGCTGTTAAAATAGTACGAAATGAATGCCGCCTCTTTTGATCTTGGATTTCAATTGGAGTTAATAAGATAATGAAATTCTCCACGTTTAAATATAATGTACGGCGGTAAATGATCAGTCAATATTTTCTTTTGGATAGAATTTTATTTTTAATTTATGAGGCACAATATTGAGCCGTTAAAAAATTACACTCATAAAATGTATAGCCGAAATATTGTTGAAATGAATGATTAACATGACAAGAAAGAGTTGAATTCAAAATGAATACATCCAGGGCTTAAATGTGACTACAATAGACGATAAGATTAGAGGAAATAGATTTAAATGGGCTGTGAACATATACAACACACAACACACTGCAAGTTGAAAGTAACAAAAAAAGACAGATTTATGGCCTCATTGAAAGTATATCCCTTAATAGAGCATAATGACGTGCATATATATATATTTTTTTTTATTTAAAAAAACAAGTTACTTTTGGTTTGATTTCTACACTTGATTTCATTTCTTAATTCTTTCAACTTTTTAACTCAACATTTGACATTCGTTTTATGCCTGGATATATATTGACGAAAAAAATCTCTATAGGCGCACAATTTTGAAAGTTGTATGGCCATTATTAATACACGGGTAAAGCCGCTACAAAGATGCTTTAAAGACAAATTGAATAGAGAGAGAACTCAAGCTTAAATATATGCTCACAAGGAACCAGGAATATAAGGTCAAACATTGAACACCGTACTTTTCAAAGGAGAGAGCAAAAAAATCTCACTTTTTCCTTTTTCTTTTTTCCTCTAGAACTTAACCAGCCTTTCCCATCCACTGGCTTTCATCCCCAAACCTCACCTGAAACCTAATATGGTTAAAGTCCCATAAACAAAACTCATAGAACCCAACCAAACCCATCTGTATAAAAACGGCAAAAACAACGCATAAAAAAAACAGTGCAAAGTTACTGCTGCAACTCTGTAATCCTCCATCCGTTATATGTCAACCACGACCACGCCCCCCACCTGAATATTCCAAAAACATACTTTCTACTCATAAACTGCATATATGGTTACGATAATTCCTTGGCTTTCGCCGCATAAAAGGCTCCTCAGAAAAAAGTTCTTTATTTAGTATAATTGCAAGGCGAATGTTTACCCAAATCCCACACCATGTGATAACTTTTATAGAGATTTGTGTCAAAATTTAATGGGGATCCTTTGAGATCCTACTCATATGGTTATGGGAGGGTGTCATTACTCATATATATATATATATATATATATATATATATATAG